CATACATTCGCGGCCCTTGGGCCTCTCAAATGCGGAACTTTCGAGTTCTCTTCCTCTCTTGCTTTGCAAGCCTGGGTTAAGGTTGTCATCGTCCCTCTCGGGTTTTCAGGTTTCATCAGACCTCTATGTCGCCGCCTACAAAGTCTGGCAGGCCACCCAAGGAAGCTCTAGTTCCTACCGAGGCCTCAGGAGATACTGTTGCTCCAGGCAAGCCCTCTGAGGGTGCTGCAGCTGCTGATCAGTCCGGCGAGGCCCCTACGGTCTCTGGTGAACCATCTCAGGATGCGGCGGGCATAGCCGCACTCACTAAGCCCCGTCAGGTAATGCCCCCCCTTTTCTTTTGACTTCGTCGCGGAAGTTGTTCCCCTTAGACGCGCTCATCGTCTCGCCCTTCAAAGATGCGTAAAGAGAGACCCTCAGAGGGCTCGGCGGAAGCCGAGCATAGGACCGGTGGAAAGAATGCTCCTAGCTCCTCCTGTTCTCGAGCCGGTAAATTCACTCTTGTGCCGGAATCGTTCTTGACCATTGATCTCAGATGGGTCTCAGAGAAAGAGTCTTCTCGAGAGACACTTCAACGATATTAGATCCGATGACGATTTTGAGGACAACGAAAGTGACAACGGCAGCAACGAGGACGACAATGGCAGTAACGAGGGCAATAACGATAACGATGGTGATGACGAGATTGTCGACGAGAGTGGTGTCTCCGGTGGTGCCATCGATCCCAATCGGCCTTCTCGCACCGAGTCTGCTTCAGAGAAGTCCTTCATGAAGGCCATTGGTACGAGCTTAGTGAAGCTCCTCAATAAAGCGGCGAGTGGCAAGTCCTCGTCGGGTAATAAATGGCACTGGCCTACCCTTCATAAGCGCCTCGAGAAAGTTGACATGGATTCTATGGATCGATCGCTCATTCGTCAATGTGCTCTCGGCGAGGTGGACAAGGATCCTTCCACTCTCTTCAACAAGGACATATGGTTCTTCGCCGTCGTTGGTGACGACAGGTCTTTTGGGGGCTTCATCCAGGCACTTATGTCGTGGTTGTGGGTAGCTCTGCTACAGGGTGCCGCCTTCGGCGACGTGTATAGCCACGTCATGCATTGCATCAGTGCTGCTGGCTTCAAATCGCCCTTGACCGGGAGGAATGCTGGTACTGTGGTCGCTATACAGTACGACGAGCAGATGCGTAAGGATGCCGGGTGTGCTATGGCCATGAGCTCTCTTTCGATAAGGGAAGCCTGTTCTAGCTTGTCCCGCCTTGATTCCAATAGGCTGATA